GCGCAGCGGTGCGACTGTGTCGGGTGTGGGTGTGGGGGGGGGGGGGGGGGGCTGTCTGTCAGTGTAGAGCCATTCAGTTTACTAAATCCTCCAGCATTTTTACTGACTATTTTAATAACATCATAACAATACATTCTTTTTCCCCTGGAACACAGATCCTCATCATTAGCAAAAACTCATAGATTATTACTCTTTGTTTTCCCCTTCCTAAATATTGTATAAATGCCTGAAAATATCCTCCTTTGTACCACCATGAGCAGTCTGTTTCTTTTGTGAAGATACTTATGGAAGGTATTACATTGTAGGAAAGTAGGGCTGGAAGGGACCTCACAAGGACAGTCATCTAATCCAGTGGTTGTCAACCTTTGGTACTTTATGTTTCACCTGTTGATTGATGCTGCAAAAGCAAAACCAGAAGTCCCCACTGTGGCACTTCTGGTTTCACCGCCATGAGCCGAGTCCCACTTTTTCCTTGCAGACCACAGGCCGGGGCAAAGCAGCCTGCGTGGGGCCCGCCTCCCTGTCCCCTGGCACGCTGACACCAGGGAGTAAAAGCCCCGGTGCACCAGATGCAGCAGGAGGGGCAGCTGGAACTTCCAGCCCAAACAGGCAAAGACATGTCCAACCTGCCAGGTGGGAGAATGGGCCAAACTCAAAACACAGGGGTATGCAAGGGTACACGTACCATGGGTTGAGAAACACTGATCTAATCCAGGCCCCTACTCAAAACAATATCACCCATGACTAAACCATCCCCACCAAAATCTAATCTGCTTTTGAAAATTTCCAAGCATGGAGAATCCACAACTTGTCTAGGTAGCCTGTTCAATGCTTGACCTCTGTCATAGAAAGTTCCTCTGAATTGCCAGCCTAAATTTCCCCTGCTGCCGCTTGAGGCTGTTGCTTCTAGTCCTGTGTCCTACTGCCACAGAGAAAAGCTAACTTCCATCCTCTCAATAATCAACCTTCAAGTATTTGAAGACTATTATCAAATCCTACCTCAAGGCATGTGTAGATAAAACAGGGCCCTAAATTGAAGCAGTAGGTTTTAAGAAACAGCTTCAATTTAGGGCTGATTAAACCCCCCTGTCATGTACACACCCCGCTGACTTACCTGCCTCTCCGGCAGGGAGGAGAGGGCAAGCTGCTGGCAGGCGGAGTAGTCCCTGGGCTGCGGTGGTGGGTGGCGGGGAGCTGGTGCTTCCCTCCATGGCAGCCCCCCCAAGGCGGCACCCTGCTTGGGCAGTCCCGGGGGCACCACAGCTGTGGAGGAAAGCACTGGGCCCCTGCGCAGCTCAGGCAGGCAGGCAGGTTCCAGGGGGGGAAAAAAATGCTCAGGCTCTTCTTGGGTGGAGCCTGTTTTCCCGGGCTGCTGCCAGGCTGACTGCAGGGCTTCCTGCAGAGCCGTGGAGCTGCACGCAGCCTGATGCTTCACTCCGTGGCTGTAGTGGTAACAGGAGTTTTAGGAAGGAGGTTCTTGAAGGAATTTTAGTTTGCTGCTTCCCCAGTTATTTAAGGCACATTATGCCAATGAATTTCCTACAGCAGCTGGAATTAATAATGAATACGCTGCCGAAGCATGCAAACACTGACACCATTAAAGTGGTGCAAAAGCATGTATCCCACTTTAAAGTGTTGTGCACACACAACTCTCATTTTGTCTTCACACGGATTAAGTCTTCTCTTCTCCAGGCTAAATGCTTCTTGTTTTTTCAGCCTTTTCTCATAACTAGCCTCCCAGTCCCTGGCTCATTTTTGTTGCCCTGCACTAGATGCCTTCCAAATGCTAAAAAGGTAACCTACACATTTTTAGTTATTTTTCTTTCCTCATGAACTTATACTTTCTTTTGATATATATCAGGATCCCTAGTTATTTTAGTTCACAGCTGAATTATTTCTATTTGCCTCTCTCCTTTTAGTATTATTAAGCAAAGGATATTCTATTTAAAGTCTCTTCAGTTTTATGAGACCATAA